TATTTTGTACCATAGCTAATTTTAGTATCCTCCAACAAATTGGATTATCTACCTAATTAAACTAGAAGTGAAGAGATCCAAAAGACGAATTTATGAAAACCCCATAGGCCCATATAGGTATAATATAACCACCATCACAGTCGTGTTATCTAGTGAATGTTTTAATGTAATGTAATGTAATTTACGAAACAGCCAAATTTAATTAACTGCGTACTTACCAGTCCCTAGTAGTCTAGATTAGGGATTGTGCGTCTAAGATATGAGTTAATGACGTTGAATCGTGAGCATTATACTGGTCTGATAGAATCGCAGCTATGTATTGTTAGCAAAGTAGTTATGTACTTACAGGAATCTGTCAGAGTTGTAAGTGTATATTATTTTATAACATACATGCCATACACACATACAATATATGCCACTTTGTTCTACTTCAGCACATTTTAATCCAGGAGGACTTCCTTAATCTTGAATTGTACTAAGTCATGCTACGAATATGCTGGTTTTGTTATTTAAAAAAATATAGCGTTTGATCAATTCCAATTTTAATCTGTCAAATACCAAGCGGTCACCGGTGACCGCGACCTATTGTTCTTTAATTGTGTCTATAAAACCGGTACTCGACGAGTTAAATTGTCAAATGTCATTCTCCTCCTTTCTATTTTAATATGTACACATTATGTAGGTATGTGAGTACGTTAAGAAATAATTATTTATTTCTTCCGGACATATCTTCTGCTTGGGTTTCACTGATTGGAAGTCGTAGCGTGTTGTTTGTACAGAGATAATGGGGTCAAACATATATCTGTAAGCTGATAAGGTTTTTAATGACATTTCATTCGTATACACATATATACATAAGCAATACACATATAAAATACATATTTTAGTATCTAAATGTAAGTGTTTACTTGAGTAGATATTTTATAAACACATTTATAATCCATGATTTGGTTGTGACGTAATAAACCTTTATATATTTTTGTGGCTCTAGTCGCCGTACTAAAATAGATCCGTATCCGTATCCAAGACCGAGACAAAGAATGATGACAGTATTACAAGATTGAATTCATTGTGGTTAATTAAGCATGCCTATTGAGGTGCGGCCAGTGTGTACTGTGACTATGTGTTCGTGGCAATACACCTGGACCACCAGTTCACGAGTGTTTACTTGGTTGCATGGCGAGCTTTGATTGCACCCGCACTCAGTCGGGTCTGCACAGTGCACAGCGTCAAAATGCTACGGGTGAAAGGAAGCGTTACCAATGTTTCCGCACTCACGGGACCTTGATCCACCCATATTTATGTACGTAAGCTGCTTCATACCTACCAACTTGAATAAGCGAAACAACATTTTATGGTTCTCGTTTCCACGTGAAGGTACATTTAAACGCTTTACACAGTTGATCGCTCTAGGAGTCATAACTACTCACAAGACGATTTATTGTTCTTTATTATCATTGTCACTTGGAGAACCAGTGTTATTAACTTGTTTGCCTTTGACACGAACGCAAGTATAATAAATAATCAACCCAAAGGGTGAAAGTCCTTGAAAATAACTTTATTATCAGTGTTGTTTGCGCAGTTAACGTCTTCGTACCTATTTACTATTAACATTATCAATATTGGATATTGATATTGGAAGTTGCCAGCATCCACTTAACTAATGTTCTTTGCTAAGTCGTAATTACAGGCGGTATATTATTAAATGATGGCCTAATATTATTCCTAACAGAGTGTCTACGATTGTACAATAATTTGGTCAGCTGCAGTGTTAGGTATGTGTCTGCTGTTGAAGGTAAACCAGTACCAGCAGTGAATAGTTGCAAGTACCACGATTAACTATCATTCCGTTTATAATCATGGCGGCCACTGTTTAACATCATTCAACCGGAGCGGTGGCGATGCACTGGTGACGCGACGTGCGTGTAACAGACCGTCTAATGGAAAGCGGGCTCAAGATTACATACACGGTCAACGTTAATTGTACACTTATAGACACGTTTGTTTCTCTGAACAAGACGGAATACTTTCACTTTATGTGCAAACCTTCCAATATTTCTTATTGATATAAATACTAATAGTGCTTCATTGTTTGTAACTAGGTTTTATTAGGTTTTCTTTTATATTCATACAAAATTATTATAAAATACGTTATAATGAGTGTTATTAGTCGCAATATACTCTTTTGATATGTTTAATTGTTTGTAAGTCAATACGGTAAGGTACGTAATTTATTATATGGCAAATAACACATTCTATTAATTAAAACATAATACTACACTACACTACACTAGGTAATGGTACCTACATTTCATACGCCATAAATACCGTCAGTCGATTGTGAAAAATTAAACATCATAAAAAATGTAAAACACTCCATCATGCATCCAAACTCCGGGTACGCCCACTCGGAGCGCCACCTACCCATGGTGGTTATTCATTATAATCACGTAGAATAAATAATAAATAAGCTGAAAACGGGATGGTCTACTTAATTTATCGTTGCTAGTAAAGTACCTAATTATAACGGAAACATTTGATGGCAAAAATATTTAGTTAGGTCTTTCTGTCACAACAAAACTAACTGAGTTAGAGAAAATTAGCTTATGCACAATGATTTCTAAAATATTATTTGTTAAAGGATACCTGAATTGCAAGTACACTTTGTGGTTAACGCTCTAAAGCGAGTGAGTCACAATTTTAGTCATTTCGCAATGATTCCAGTTTACGTCTATAACTTTATACTGGGTAGGTACCGGTTCGACAAGAGATCTCGCTACTTATTTCTTTTGAATTTACTTAGATATATCATATTAATCTTGTCTAGATATACTTAGAAATATTTCTTATTTTTCTTAGTCGTAGCCTCAGAATCACGCGTAGATGATTGGGCCGATTTCTGTTTTTTGGGTTTGTAATTGACAGTATACGTATACACGAAACGAATCACTTAAAAAGATTGAGAAATAGAAGCTGGTTAAACCGGGGCGAGTCACTAGTCATTGTCGTAATTTGAATGTTTACATTTTTTTTATTATGAATGTGGATACTTGAAGAAGAATACGAATAAAATAATAAATGGCTAAAAGAAAATATTATACCAAGTCTAAAGTTAAGTTCAGGAGAAAAGACAGTAAAAATAACCACTTGCGTACAAGAAACAGATAAAATAACCGATCTGGCTATTTACACGCGCTAATGTTTTCACGTTTGATATAAACTAGCGTATTTTTGTGCTATACCTTTACCAAATCATCGCCCAAGTATTAGGTACTATTATAACTAACATGCGTTTTATAAATAAAGAAACTAAACAGAAAAAAACCATTTGCCGCTTTTCATTATAGATATAAATTATAAACTTAATTCAGAATGAGTTTACATCGTAATGTATGAAAAATATTTAGTAAATGGATCTGGCACGATTTGTGCAATATTGTTTGCAAACGTGTAGTCGCAGGGCCGCCGCCAGACGTGACGCGCTCACTGCGAAACAGATGTACTGGTTTACACATTAATCTACCTCTATATACTCCAAATGGTTTATAAGTACGTTACTCGTTATCAATTAGCCCTAGTAACTATTACTTAAACTGTCAAACACCGAGCGGTCACCGGTGACCGCAACCTATTGTTCTTTAATTGTGTCTATAATGACGGTACTCAACGAGTTAATTAAAGATAAATGCTAGCATAGTTGCATTCCTCATAAGCTCCGCGAAGCTGTCGAATGTTTTCCTATAACGAAACTAAATCTTTAGAATCACAGTGAAAACAATGTATCTTGAATTCAATCACTCTTTAATTTGGGTGAGACTTCATAAGTCTGCCAATGTTAACTATGCAAAATAAAAAATGTAAATTATTAAATTGTTTGATCAAAGGCTCAAACGTGAGCGTATGTCGGTAAACAATAAAACAGTCATAAAACTCATCTCAAGAATATCGATGCCCACAAGCTGTACCAATTGAGCAACGATATAGGCCGTTTTTAAATTATTCTTGATTTAAATCTATTCGTATTCCGATTCAGGTGAATAGGGCAACTTATCCCAGTGTAGAGTGAGGCGCATGAAAAATATTTGGGATCGTGCCAACGTTGCTCGGTCCGCGGCCGGCGGCTGCGTCGCGACGCCCCTTGACTCGACCATCGGACTCGATAACGCAATGCAATACCTGACGTCGAAAGTGCATCGCTTACTTTTGGTCTTATCTGGAAGTAGTAAACCCTGGTATGCCGAGAACATAGATCTACGCGAGACACAATGTAATTTTTTGTGTCTAATTCAATTTTTTCAATGCTACTATGTATTATAAAATATTTTCATTTTGCACTTATCACTTAATTCTCTGAGTCAATTGGTAGGTGTATCGTACCTTATGGGATTATTTATGGACTTATTTACTTAAGCTATCCAGAGACTCCAATAGTATTAAAATTCCATTTTCCTTCATAAAAAGGGAGATTATTAATTTATTTTTCCTGAAATTTCTTTTACCGACTCTCAAGTCTTTACCCTTTATTTTATTTGTGTGCAGAGGTCAATATAATAGTTTGGAAAGTCAAGGCGCCATCAGCCGTTCGCCGTTGGGCAAGGTTTTACTTAAAAACATTAATCACTCACTCGACCTGACACCTACCAGCAATATACCTTCTATAACACTAACTAACAACTTTATTGGGGTTGCGAAAACATAATGCATACGTACCTACTTACCAAGTGCAATCGATACATCCATGATGTTTGTAATTTGAATAATCGATAGATACGTATTTTATTTTATAACAACGTCCACTCGAGTCTATACTCAAACCTTGTACGATTTACGCTCAGACATTGTCAGCTCTGATAAGATAATATATTTAAAGTATTTTTATTATAAACCAACAAAGATGCCATCGATCCATCCTGTTGATATCGTTAAGAAATTGTTGTAATCATTCATAGTTAACTTAATGCATAAAGTCATAATGACTTAGTCGGTTTTATTAATTTCAGGTGAGTAACGGCAATGTCATCGATACAGGAACACCAACCTTGCTGGTATTTACCGTTTTTTACTTAGCACTAATCACGCATGTGAATGCATTCACATTTAACATGCCTGAATAATTACTAGTTTATAATGTACTAACCGTAAGTTAGCTGATCTCATTTCATATCTGCCAATTTAATTTAATTAAACAAGGGACGCCTACTCACTCGCCGCACGACTAACTCTCATCTTCAAAATATCGTTTACCTACATTTATTTTCTTTACTTGAGCTTATGCAAGGAAATATTTTTTGCTCTAGAATTTAAATATTATAAATGTCTATGTATTGTAAGAAACTTTTATGGTAACTTCTTAATGGTACAGTTTATTTTTTGGCATTGTTATCTTTTTTCATTTATTATATTAGTAGTAGATGAAATTTAGATGCTTCAAAATGTTTTGCTTTATTAGACAAATGTAATCTGTGTTTTAGTGAATTTATTTATGTATTAAGTCAAATTCATCTTAACGGTAAAACTTAATACTGATTGTTCTATTAACGGCATAAACATGAAACAAAATATTAGTCACAAAGAAGTCGCAATAATTTAGAATTCATTGAAATTACTTCTGGAAATACCTAAGTTAACGTGTATGCCGCACAACAATACAAAAGAGTACTTTCAGCCTTTTCATCTACCTATGGAGTGTGGAGTAATTCCTTTTCCCGTAGCACTTGAAATGCTACATTACATACATATTTTACTGTATAATGTTCGGTGTAATTATACAATACGTACATCACATTTGTATGTAAAGCTGCTATGCGTAAATCCCTATGTGCCGTTATCCAATCAGCGCTTTCATTTCATTCTGCGTAAACCGTGCATATTAGATTAATCTCATCAAAATCCTCATGTACTAAATAAATTAAATTGCCTCAGTCTCAAAGTGACATTGATTTACGCCAGGAGTCTGCATAATATAGGCACCAGACACGCTTTGATCTGCAGATATATAATGTTAAGTATTCATCGCCTCTCTGATAAGTACAAGTTTAATATTATTTGCCTTTTCTATTGATGTTTCTAACTAGTAAAAATTGTGCTGTATTTGCTATTTATTATCCATATTATTCAGCGCAAGTATTTTACATTCATTTATATTAACTGTTCTCAACGGTCTGGTTGTGTTGAACTGTCATAACAATTGAATTTTTCTGGTATGTGTTCAAAACTAAATGTTTTTGTTAAAGAATCAAGACATTATTAAGTGTCTACTCCGCATACAAACAAGTTTAATATTGAATCAATTATTGTTGTATACTTACCGTACTATCTGCTCACTAATCACGAATCTTTGTGTGTTACCTGAAAAGCAGGTTTTAAGTTATCCATAGCTTTAGCAATACTTTGAGTTTCCCACTTTAACCTATAATTACATTCATGTGCACAGAATGCATAAATTTTCGTTCGTTAAACACGAGTTAACAATTGGAATATTGCTCACGAATATAAACTCTGGAATACATTTTTCATCAGGAAAAATATATTCCAGATTTTATTTTATTATAAATATGTAGTTTGCTATTGCTCAAAAACCGAAAGTCACTTTAAATTACCTGCCATTAGGTAATCCTTGAGTTTAATGCTGCACGGAAACGTAACTTAATATTCGTTTATAAACGTAGCTTATAACACCCATGGGGGAGTTTAGCACACGTATTGCGTCGCCACGCCTGCGTGAACTTAAGCATAGATTTTACAATTGGAGTTAGAAGTCGTCACAATATATAATAGTGAACATTTATTTTCAATTAGCTGTTGCCTAAGACTTCGTCAGCATAGAATAGGATTCCTGTTTTGTACCATGGGAGCATTTAATCGAGAAAAAAAATCCTATCACCTAAGTGAGCCCCTGCCTGTATACCAAATTTCATCAAAAACCGTTCAGTAGGTTCAGCGTGATTGACGGACAAACATTCAAACAAAGAAACTTCCACATTTATAATAATAGTGTGATATTAAAGAAAACTGCGATATCTGTCGATCGAACTGAATCAAATATATATAGTGTCACCTTTGTAAATTATCGTGTATCGAAGTACCATTAAGGCCTCGCCTGGACCGGTGCCAGAGTTTGGGTATTATTAGCAACGTCGACAACGACAAAGTTAATCAAGCTCAAATAAGATCAATATTTCCCGTAGGTGAAGTGATAGTGTTGCGTCTCAGTCTCATGGCCAGGTGCTGTCAGAAAGAATTACTGGCCAGATCTGACGAAGACGTACACATCTTGACACAATATTTTTTGCACTATCAAAACATTTAATATTTACTTGTTATGTTGTTGTTTAATTACGCTATCGTTATAAAATTAACTTATTCACTTGTTTTATTCAAAAGCTTAGTTATATAGGTATAGCACATAATCTAGATGGAATGTGTTATGGTGTTCGTGCTTTCTCTCTTCTTACGCATTGGATGTCTATCTGTATACTTTCAACTTCGGCTTTATAGTAAGCTACTATATGTTTTTTATTTGGCTATATATGTTTATTTTATTAATTAATCTAATTATTCATGTGTAGTTCCATAGTTCAAATCCTGAGCCGGTCTCTAAGTTACAATATAAGCTGAAACAGTCAATCGACAACAACCTTATTTGATAAAATCTATACTTAGTTTCCATGTTATGTTGCGTGGCGTGACCATTCGCGTGAGATGCCTGCGTGCGCCAGGAGAAATTCCTTAACTAGTTATAACATTCAGTGAGGTATCTATTTTATTATTAGGTATGTTAAAGGTATGATTTTTACAAAATATAATTTGATATCAATAACATTTAGTCATATTACTATTTATTATACTATTTTATCGAACGTCCAAGTATTTTCTGAGTTTTGTATATGTAAACTGTACGTAAAATGTGGCATAAATTGAAAACGCTTAATTAACGCGATCGGCGGTCCGTTAAATAGGGTAGACCTCGGGTGCAGTTTCAAAGAGATTGGCCCGGCGAACCGAACGAACGCCCCGTGATGCAACCAACATCAACGTTCTTTTTCCTTTGCAGTACTATAGGTAAATAATTTATGTATGTACATAGTTATTTTTGACACTTCAATGATTGTGAACTAGATTTTCCAATTATATGACAATTGTTACATTTCCAGGAAAATATTTCTGTTATTGCCACTATTTTAATTTATAATAAACTTGTATCTCTTCTTGTTGTATTGATTCGATTCGACAATTGTTACGTTCCTACTTGTTAAAATGACAGCATTCCAATGAAATTTAATTTCTTCATTCTGATTCACGGTCAGGAACACTCAAAGCCAAGCTTGTATTGCAGTAAATGTATTTTACATTGATCTAAATATAAAGCGGGACGCGGTTGCCATATTATCTGTGTCTGCCAGCTATGGAACAGAACTCTTTCAGGTTAAGAATTTTGTAAACAGTCTGAACCTAATTTTAACCGACATCCCAAGAAGGAGGAGGTTTTAAATTCATCTGCTTTTTTATGTTAACTAGATGAATTTGCTTCTTTTGGAATTTCTACGCTACTATAAGTTCAGACTATGGATGTTATATGTCACTTTTGTGTATGTGATGTTCAAATCAAATGAATATTATTGTAGTAAAGATATCATAAGATATAATTTGACGTGTCAAAAGAAACTCGTATTGGCTTGAAGTTACCGTACCTGTGCTTAATTTGCATACATTACAAACTGTCGCACGTACGCTGCTTACTAACTGCATGTTATGTACATCCTGTGGCCTGTGACTGAATCTATTATTCATTTCATTTCTGTCACATTTAATATACAACGGAAGAAGTGTGTCTGGGGTAGCCGCATCGTACTAAATTAATTTAATTGATAGTAGGAAGGATTTTTAATTTCGTCTGAAACGCAGTGCTGGAAAAAGAAAATTTTGTGAATTTATAATCTTCTTTATGTTTTGTTCTCCCTTAAACGTCTTTCAAATGGAATCAAATATTTATTGATTCCGGTAATTCGTTGAGCGGCGTCGGACCGACGTGTGGGGACGAATGGAGATGGGAATTATTGATGATATACTTAGGGGTGCCTATAGTGACGCAATTGCCATCCGCCGTAAAATCGATTACAATTTTTCAACGAAAAGTATTTTTTAGGGATGAGATTTTCCGATAATAATATATTACCCATTACGTACCTAGTTTTTATGTAACTAACAATTTATCATTATTTTTGAGGATTTGCGATTCCAGAGACGTAGCAGATGGTTTTCTATTAACCATGGACATAAGGGTGAAATGTCTAGTAGTAATATGTCTGTAATTACAACGGCACCCCGTACCCTTTCAAACCGGAACACAATAACGCAGCTTGACGGCGGAGACAGATACGGGAGTTGTGTACCGTACCTACTTCCCCTAACGTTTCTTTACAAAGCGCTTTACTTATGTAGGTATATAAGGCTACGACGGTGCTTAGTTTAATATTTAATTATTATTTAACTGAGTTAAGACAAAACGGACTTATTTTTTTATATTTATATTTTATGTAATATTGTTGTTTTTAATTTGTAATACGTTTTTAATTAATTTTTAATTCCATCAAAAGAAGTTAGTTAGGTGCCAATAATACTAAACCAAACTACCTAACCTAAGTAATGATATTCGAACTTCGAAGTTTTTGTTGAAAACCGTTAACGAAAAGTATCAACCTAGGATATTAATTTGGAACTATCTTTCGATTACTTACTCAACTGTTACCTATGTTTCATCGATCTATATTCTGTGCTTTATAGCTAAACATGCCGGCAATAATTTAAACAAGCGAAATGGAGAATAAACCAGACCACAAGTCGGTGAACTTACTTTTTGGGTGCCAGGGTTGAACTAAAGTGACCACAATCCTGTTTTAAGACCATTAAAGCAAATGATATTCCAGAATAGCTCGACATTACGTAACATAAACTTCATTTCAAACTTGCTGAAGATAGATCATTCAGTTGAGATCGATTGCGGTTTACACTTGCAGGGTGAGCTGAGCTTCGCGAAATAAGTTGC